AGGTCAGGCTAGAGTGTTCACTGGTCTCAGTTCCGGGGCTGAATCTTCCCTGGTTGATTGGATTTCCGTTTGCTTGACATTCGTTTGAAAGTTCAATTGTGGCTAACGCGCGGAATGGATCTTAGCGTCATTTGTCTGCAATTGCTGTCTATATTCGGAACTAACTCAACCCCGAAGCCATCAAAATACTTTCTTCCGCGAACTCTTATACTCACTGTTATACAATTGCACCAATCCAGATATGATTTTGGTTACAGGTTATATGGACGCACAGGTATGTCATCAGTTAGATCTATGTTCAGGTTGATTTCCGAATTCATGAGCTATGGCAGGCATGTGTTGCAACTTCGGGTCAATTTGCTAGTGATTGCACTCCGGTAACTGCCCAACCTTTGATCCGCATTGGCATAATCTTCATGTGGCATAGTTCTACGCTTGGCTGTCTTTTCGGGTCGCGTGCATCGACTGTGATCACGCCTCTAATACATTCACATCTTAATTACTATAATATGTTGACATCTTGGCTACTGTCCCTATTTGCTTCGCCGAAGAATAAGGGCGTCAGCAAGACGCCGGTACGCTTCACCGACGTTTCACTACCATGCGGCCTCTACTTGTTGTGGGCGGGCCAATGAAACTACAAGGTCGCTCGCACCTACGCAGATTCGAACTGACACTTCATCTTTTCGGTCATCATCCAACTGAAAATAATGGTGAACTAGATGTTGTGCTATCGTTGCAATAGTTCAGTTTGTTTTTCTACTGTTTGCATTTGCACTGACAACTTGTTTGCTAGACCGGTCGACGTATTTGTTTTCTTCTATTTCGGTTCCCTACGTCATATGACCATTTCTGTCTACGAAGGAATTTTGGTCCCCTGTGTAAAGGAATTTACTCTTGCGCGCATATACAGCGCCGCGGCTCAAGTACTTTACGTGACCGATGCAATGCCACTACGTTAGAATTTCGCTGTCCTATTTTATTGATTATGCAGATCGCAGCTGTTCATCACAACGCTAGGTTGCTATGCATCATAGCATTTTATTGTCGATTTTGTCACACTGTGGGGGACCTTCGCTTGGCACTTGAAACTTACGCTGCAGTACTTCTTCGAACAAATTCGAGACTACTAAAAATCATTGGCATTTATATTGTCTACCACGATTAATTTTGCACAGGCTACTGTTTTGCATTCCGTTTATGGAAGATGGAAATCATTCACAGATTGCGAACTGGCCACTACTACGCGGCTTTTGCTGTCCCAATAACTTACTTGACGACCTATCGATAACCCGAGCAACGTTCTCCTCATCTTACTAGCAAGTGTATGCCTGAGTGCGGTTAATGTAAAGCGTGTTGAACTCATAATTCATTCTGACTACATCACGCTTTCTTCTGCCAACGTCTGCTAATCATTTATTAAACGATCCAATAGCGTGAATTACTTCATTCTTGGTTTAGAACTGTTTTTCCCTTTTATATGTCTTATTTTCCATTGAGCACAGTTTCAAAAAGCGTTTCCAAATTTATTGCCTGACCTTAACAATCTGGAGCACTAACTGAGATCATGTCGCCGAGCTAGCACATGTGTAGAAGAGCTGAGCCACCTTTCACAGAGATTGTGTCGAATGCTAGCGACTTTCGCTACGCGACGCTTACATGCTCTGGTTACTTTCGGTCGTCCTCTGTGTTCGTGAAACTCTTTTCATTAGGAAAATTTTGACATACTCTGAACTTACTCGTCTATATTTTTCCATATATTTATCCACCTCCTGTTAAGCACCGCCAAGCACTACCACATTATTGTACATCTCTTCGGTCATGATCCATTGTTTGTAGCCTACGCTTGTGGTGTGTGTAACTCCCTCGTGTCTTTCAGTATGATGTGCCCAACGGTCTCATAATGAACGGTGATGCTCATTTGCCCATGGACACCGAGACAGATGACAACAAAAAGGTAGTGCTTATCCTCACCATTGTTTCACACAGATTTCAGTCTCGCGTCGAATATGTGGAATCCATACCATCCAAAGTGGTCCACATTCGAAATATGCCTACCGATGCTTCCGAGCATGAGATCGCACTTTTGGGTATACCATTCGGTACTCTTGAAAACATGGTTTTATCCAAAAAGGCTGGACAGGTTTGTTTCCCTTATTATTTCAAACTTTTAGGCCCTTATTGAAATGCAAGATTTGGACAGTGCTATCCTTATGATTGCCTACTATCGAAAATTTCCGGTTGCGCTTCGAGGCAAACATTTAGTGATGCAGTTTTCAAAGCATCAACGCTTGGAGCTCCATTCAGAGAACATTCACATTGGTGATGCACTGAAGAATGCGAATTGCATCGTGCAACAAGATCTTAGCGGGGCAATCGCAGGCGTTCCCAACACTGTGCTGCGGGTTTTAGTTGACAACGTTATGGGCCAACAAATCAACCATACCATCCTGCACAAAGTGAGCGATCTCTTCTGACCTTTTCTCACTTCCGTAGATTTTCCACCGATACGGGAATGTCCTTCGTATTATAACATTTTTAAAGAACAACCAGTATCATGGTCTAATCGAATTCGAGGACCATATCCATGCCTTCGTGGCCATGTTGGTAAGCAATTAAAGTTTATAACACTCTTAAAGCATTTAAACGGGCAGAATATTTACACTGGCTGTTGTTCTTTGCGAGTCGAATTCTCAAAGAACCGTGGTCCCCTAGAAGTGCGCCATGAAAACGATAAATGCAGAGATTATATCACTAATCCATTGACGGAAGATGAGCTTGCGAATCTCAGGAGATACCCCGGAGGATCGTCGACCTCGTTTGGCCCTGCCAATGGTGCTTATCATTCGAATTCCCCTGGCAACCTTGCCTCTCACTTCTCCAATGCTGTAGTCCCCGCAATCACTCAGGGTATTCATCTTCCCGTCGGCATGATAGCTTCATCAAGCGCTGGCGGTGCTGGCATCGGTGATTTGACTACGCAGCTTGCTGTTTTGGCGCAGCAATCGGGGTTTGCTCTCACTCCGGCCGCGGCGGCTGCAACTGCTAGTTTTATGGCTCTCACATCACAGAACAACGCCGTCGGTGCTCACTCGATGGCTGCCGATCCCAATCTCGCCGCGCTCATTGCAGCTATCCAAGGAAGCGCGGTGCAGAATTCGGTACTCTCTCATCTGGCGGTGGGCAATCCTTCACTAAATCACATGCAACAGCATCACATGTCCTCCCATCTGATGAACTCTACCGGTGCCCGTGCTGCTCCTCCGAACAATAACGGTGGCACTGTCCTCATCGTATCCAATCTGAATGAGGAGGTAAGTTGCGCCTAACCAGACATCTACAATGAATGTTTCTTAGGGTTACTTCAACATGACTTAACCCCGCTATTCCTTCTTTTCCTTTCATACAACTCCTTGAATTCCCTCCCATTCTGTGACGCCAACCTTGGGTCTTTCTTCGTTGTGTCATTATCAAACTGGATATTCACGCCCAAAACTCCTCTTCGCCTCTTCGTCTTCCGCTGTTCTTTGCCGTATTGTCGACTGTGAACCTTGACGTGATCTCCCATTGTTTCCATCTTGCTCTTCTCGAAGAGGGTGTATCCGGACGCTCTCTTCACTCTTTTTGGTAGGTTCGCAGTTATTCTCACTCTGCCTATACCTACCGTTTTTTTTTAATCAAAGAGCACTCACTCATCTATGCTATTCGTTTCCCCCCCCCTGCGCTGCTCACACTTTTAATAACTGCGAACCGACCCTCTCTGCAGGCCTCTTTCCTAAGTCAAACTTAACAGTCTCCAATTTTGACTCTCAAACTCACTACGTAGAATGTTATTACACCTGATTCCCCATCACCAGATTCAAATAGCTGTTCGGATATTTTCTTTCGATTCTTCCTTTTGCTTCTGTACTTTTTACTGAAGACCAGCAACACTTTCCAGGAACACCTAGCTTCGCTTCGAACGATTCCTTCGTTTCTACCGTGTGATCACATCTTTTCAACTCTGTGATATTCACTCTTGTCTTGTCCTCAACTTTTTCTCGATTCATGAATTTTTCCCGCGATCTCTTTTGCTTCCCATTTTCTAAATTATGCTGTCTTTTGCTTCTCTCCCTCTGGAACCGCAACGCTTGTTTTCCCTTTCAGGCGTCTATGGGGATGTTACTCGGGTGAAAATTATGTTCAACAAAAAGGACACGGCGTTGGTCCAATTTGCCGACTCCCTACAAGCCCTCACCGGTACGTCACTAATCACTTCGGTTGCTCACCCTTGTCAGCTTTACAGAACCTCTCTGGACAACGGTTATGGGGTAAATTTATGAAGATCGCCGTCTCCCGGCATAGCGTTGTACAGCTTCCCAGAGAAGATTCAGACAATGGCCTTACAAAGGACTATAGCACCAGTCTTTTGCACCGCTTTCGCAAACCCAACTCTAAAAACTACATGAACATTTACCCCCCTAGCCATATATTGCATTTGAGTAATATTCCCCCAACTATCACCGAAGACGACGTCCGACTTTTGTTTGCTACCAAGGGCTTCAATGTCACCGGCTTCCGGTTCATGCAGTGAGTCATTGTCCTATATTGGGTTCTCATGTATTCATTTTCCACAGGAAAGATAAAAAGATGGCCCTTGTTCAGCTGGACTCTGTGGATACGGCCATCCAAGCTCTGATTGTGAGTTTTTCTCATCCTTTGATTGGGTACTTAATTCGCGCTTGTTTTAGGAATTGCACAATAGCCAGCTCACTGAGAACTCTCATTTGCGGATCAGCTTCAGTAAATCTGCGATATGACACGCGAACAATGAATGTAATTTCCCTCCGTCCCCTGCCCATCATCCCCCTTTACTTCGACCTCTCCATGTGTGGATATGACGGTGCGCGCGTATTGCCGTCTGCCTGCGTGTGTGTGTATGTCGGTTTCTTTGACCATGTCAGTGTGGTACGACGGCGGATGTTATTCTGTTCAGTGCCCACCTAAATTGTTGACTGATTCTTCACGTTTTCTTTTGACGTTGTGGGCTTCCAACAGTCCGCAGACTCGCCGTCTCCATTGTAGAGTACACTTAGTGAGTGGGATCGCACTTTCATGAATCTGCCACTTAACTGATAGGTGGGGTATGACGTGGTTGAGCACCATTATTCTCATGAGCAGCCACTAAGGTTGCTGGAGAACAGAGCAGTTCCAGTGTTGCTCCTCCCAACACTGACACTTCACCACCGGCTTCGTAGAACTCATTAGCCTGAGCTCGGAGTGGAACTCGAGCCCACTAGTTAGCAGCTGACGCCTTGATGATCACCAGGCTACTAAGATCCATGAGCATTGCTTGGTAAACGCGTTCATTGGTGGTTCGATTTAGGTATCCTTGGCTTTGGGTGATGACCATTGTCTATCTACTCTAGTACCTTCTAAGGGGATTCGGACTTCAGCGACATCAGCTTTTGCTCGTTTTAAGCACTTGAATTTCCCAGTACGGTCGTCCAACCGAGTTCCTAATTCGGATATATGATTCCCCAAAATGCTCATCTCACCTTTTGTCCTTTTGCTACACTATTAGTCAATTACTCCAGTCACGTGCCTGCACTTATGCGTCCATTATATCAATTGTCTAACCAAATCCATGTCTTGATTGTGGACTCCAATTCACCTGCTTTTTTTCGCTTCGTCATAAGTTGTCCCCAGTGATCAACCTTCGGACACCCCATTAGTGCTATCTCAGTTGGTATTTGCTTGAAGCAAAACTCAACTTGGCAACGAAGAAGGAACTCACTGACGTCTAAGCTGGGCTCTGTTGGTCTGTCTCGCTGGTGTTTACGCGAACCACCTTACGTTTCACCCGGGCCTACATCAATAAATAAATAGTTTATTCCCTAAGTAGACGAGATACGCCTATATATATATATATATATATATATATATATATATATATATATATATATATATATATATATATATATATATTGTAACAGTCAATAAATAGACATTGAGCCATCGGAAACCATGAAACTCAAAAGAAGCTACAGAAATAGTAAAAGAAAACACTGCGCAACCCATCAAAGTCCATGGTTTCCTCAGAGAGCGAGATACTCCCCGGTTGCCCAAGCCAAAGTAAGGTGTTGACTTAGGGGACACCATCCCGAGCCTTTGGCTGAATAGCCTGCCCGCAAGCCAGCGAAGCGAATTCAAGGAAGCGCGCCCATTGGGAGCCGGTGACTGATTGCTCAGTTCATATACCTTTCGTTTGTTCCTTTGTCAAACAGGGGCCCACCGCTCCCCAAAATTACAGCGTAAACTTTCTGGAATACAATGCTTCTCCAGGATGAAGCAAGGGACAGTGACTTTAGTTAATGGCGAGTCACGTCCGCCACGTCACAGTGTTGTTAAACGGACATATGTGGCTTTTTATAGGGAGAACGCTTGCCAAGCGAAAACCCACCACGTCCTGGAACACTGCTGCCGAACTATTTGTTGGAACGGAAAAATCCAGAACCACCCAGCTGGCACCACGAGGAGATTGTTCTTCAAGCCAGCCCGAGATACGCTTAAACAGGCATGATCCGTTAAATATAGCATTTTTGATGAAGTTTACATATTACGTGTTTATCCACTCGTCAGATGATCTACCAATAAGTAATTGTGGTAATTTATGGGCACCCAGATTAAAAAATTCCAGTGAAGCTTGCTAAGAAAAGTCGTAAAATTTAACATCATCCCCAACAATACACGTTAGCTGAGATTGAGAAACACACCTCAGCTAATGTGCCGCAGTACACGAAGATAGTAAACAATTGCACTACAAAGAATTTAAAAGGCAAGTGATATGGTGTTAGGTGTAATGTATTTCCTGTGAGTAGTGGGGAGTGAAACCCAAAGGTGTGATGTATGGACAAATAAACTCACAATACAAACGCAACTGAGCTCGGTTCTTCACCATACTAGCAAGCGTGCGCAACCAAACGTGTTCATCATCGTTAGGACCCCAGCCAGGCAGTCGTGGTGCACCAACCTACGCCAACTTCGAAGTGAGGGTTTTCATTTCTCTCGAATAAGTTATCTCTTGGCTTCCCCTCCTCCGCTTCCAAACGCGCTCCCGGTGCGCAAACAAAGCACATCGCGGGAGTCTGTGTACTGGCATGCGCAACACGTAGCCCAGTCATCCGAGCCTGGTGCGTAATATAATGTTGCTGAGCGGATCACTCGCTCTTCTTGCACCAAATGCGCGACGCGGAATCCACTCATTGTTCACGCGGCACTCCCACCAGACATGAGCTAAGCTGCGAAGGCTTCTTTATGTCTGTCGACCTGATGGGCCAGGTTTCACAACCGTATAAAAGAGGGTTGAACGGACAGCTGCGTTATTAACTCGATCCTTCAGGGCGAGAGTGATGTTGCGTCTGCGCCGCAGGTGGTGGAGATTGGCAAAAGCACCTCGTGCTTTTGCTATGCGGTTTGTAATCTCATTTTCGATCCCACGAGCGCTATTATAGCTGTCCAGGTACATGAAATCCTGAACGACTTCTAGCTGATCACCATGAGAGATCAGCTCAGGGGTGTGTCCCTGCCAATCTTAGGGAAGAATTTTGCATTTCGATAGAGTAACCTCATGCTCAGTTTGATGTTGAATCCATGATGCTACTTCACTGTAGTTTGGCTACGCCAACTATGCGTGACGATAGTGGACAGCCTATCCATAACTTGTCAAAACGCCTGGAGTGTTGGGCTGAGCTCTTTGAAACGCAATTTAATCGGTCGGAATTGTCAGATATCTCGCCGCCCACTGATCTCCCTGTTCCCTCCGTTGTCCTTTTGGATCCACCCTCTCGCTCAAAAGTCGAACATGAGATCGTACTGCTGAAGTTATATAAAGCCTCGGGACTTGATGATCTTCCTCCTGCCCTCTTTATATTCGAGGGACCTGCTCTAGTGGATTATTTAAGCGAATTACTGGTGGAACTGTGGGAGCAGGAAACTGTCCCAACCGACTAGCGGCGCTCCGTCATAGTCCCAATTTTCAAGGGACGCTCACAATTGGAATTCGGCAACCATCGAGCAATCATCGTGATCTTCTTCGCCTCCAAATTGCTTGCCTCTGTCATGTTTCACAGACTGACTGGCACTCGTGTAAACCAAATACGTGTAGAGCAAGTCGGGTTTCATTGAGGTCGTGGCTTTATCGACCACTTCTTCACTTTGCGTCAGCTGTTGGCGCACCGTCATATATATTGGCGGCCCAACGTTGTCGTGTTCCTTGACATCAAAGTTGGATTCGGTTCGTTTAATCGATGTACCCTTTGGGACTGTCTACTCATGAAAGGTGTGCCCTAGAAATATGTAATTGATATCCGAGCATTATACGCGCGTAGCTCGGACAGTGATGGCTTACTGCCAGCTGTCGCCGCTCTTCAATATCTCCAGCGGTATGAGACAAGGATGCCTTCTGTCATCTTTCCTTTTCAACCGCTATTGCTGAAGTCATGGAAATCGCGTGCACAGGACACGACTTAGATGTGGAGCTGCTTCCAGGGGAACAGCTTCTTGACTTGGAGTATGCGACGATATGGCCCTAATCTGTGCAGCTCACAATCGTACCAAGCTGCACTGGATAGATTAGCACTGCCTGTCAGTCAGTACGGGCTTTGCTTCTCACCCTCGAAGTGCAGAGCTTTCCTCTAAGATTGGCCTTTACTGCTTCCTGCACTGACCCTTTGTGGGAATCAGCTAGAAGTCGTTCAAAAATTCAACTACCTGGGAAGTTGTATCAGCGCTCGTGGGATTGAAGGTGAGCTCACGAACCGTATAGCACAAGCTCGAGGCGCTTTTACTAATCTTCGCCACTTATGGTGTCGGCGCAACATCACTCTCGCCCTGAAGGGTGCAGTGTACAATACAGCGGTACGTTCGACCCTACTGTACGCTTGTGAAACTTGGCTCCTTAGATCAATTGACACAAAGAGACTAGTTACTTTTGACAACTGGTGCCCTCGCAATTTGTCTCGTATCTGTTGGGAACAGCGAGTTAGCAACGAGCGTGTTCGACACCTTGTTTATGGCACAAGAAAAGGAAATGAACCGCTCTACACTGTTATTTCATCCATCAGGCCCCGACGGCTGGGCCACGTGTTACGCATGCCAGCTCATCGGCTCCCGAGACGTGCATTGTTTGCGCGCTGGGGGTGTGGATGAAGGAAGAGGATAGGAGCCAAGCGTTGACTTGGCCGAAAGTAATGAAGGTCCTCACTTCGAAGCTGGCCCCGGTTGGAGCGTCAAGGCTCCCTGGTTGGGGTCCGAAAGTCGATGAACACGTTTGGCTGGATACACTTGCTGGCATGGCTAGGAGCCGAACTTAATGACGTTCGTGCTGTGAGTTTCTGTCCCTTCCCATCCCTTTTAGCCTCCCCCTCCAACCACGATCTCATTTCTTAGCGTAATATAATTTTACATAAATTGTTTTGTTGCCTACTAACCGGCTGGTAGCTTTCCGGAACGTGCCCATCCGTTACTGTTAGCTCAGCTAGCAAGCACCTGTTGCGTTTTTTCCTTTTTTATTTATTGCGACACAGTAGCTGAGATGTTTTCTAACTCTAGCTAACGTGTATAGTGATGTGGATGATGACACTTACTCTTGGTTTGTTTAATCTGGATAAAAGTCATTTAGTGTGTTCAATTCTGTTACTGTGCTGCATGTTCTGTGTCAGTTTTCCGTATTTGCTTTTCCTTAAACTGGATGTCGTTTTTTAATATCCCCGGTTTGACAGCGCTTGATGTGAACGTTGACAAGGCGCTTACCTGTCTGATATCATCCACCTCGATTACTGGCTCCAGGAGACTGAATCATTGCAGGGGGACAGGGTGCACGGTCCTCGTGCCCGTGCTAGGCTCAATGGGTGGTTCCATGCACCCAGTGTGGAGTGGACTACGGCCCAACCACCGCCTTGTGTATGTCAGGTACGCATGATTCCCTAGATAGATAAGGGCTGCAGCTGTACATGTTGAA